CCCCCCCCCCCCCGCCTCCTCCCCCCTTCTACTTAAAATCCGACCAGGAACATTCGGAATCACTTCCCCAATCATCCAATAAAATCTATTAGGGCACGATGAAGAGTCTATTTCCATGATGGCACGAATCTATAGGGGTTGAGTCAGCCATACCCTGCCTACTTTTAGCCATAGCCACCAATTACTACTCTCCCCCCTCTACATCGAATAAATCGCCAGCTACCGTCTTCCCCCGAACATAACGCACCCCGATAAAGACTGTATACAACCTATATCTCTGGTCAGGTATAGCCAAAACGAGGATGCGTTGTGTTCGGGGTAACCAAGTCGTGCACTACTCTCCCTACACTATGCTCTTTACATCCAATCCAATCTTTGATTATGATTAAACCCCTACTCTATTGTTGTTGTTGTCGTCGTCGATTTTGTCGATTTCGTCGATTTTCTATGCTTGCAGGGGTCCTCTCTAGATAGTCTTAGGAGTAGGTAGTGGAAGGGAAACAAAAACAGAAGTTGAGAGAAGAATATAGACAGAAAAAAAAAAAAAAAAAGATTTTGTCGATTTTGTCGATTTCCCGCAAGATGTGTACTACGTGTTGAAAATCGGACGGCTAATCGTTTCCAGTGGCAGCTTAATAGCCTTCTTACCGTTATATACAGTACTTATATCAGCCCGGATCTGGAAGCTCAAAGCCCAATCATAAAGGCCACTCATAAAGGCCCAATCACAAAGCCCAATCAAAAAGGCCCAATCACAAAGCCCAATCGAAAAGGCCCAATCACAAAGACCAATCAAAAAGGCTTTGTGTTCCCCATATACATGTAGCAAGAGTTATATAAATTATAATATAATGTCAAGCAGATGGCATGGAAAGAGGGATGCAAACGTGAGCAAAGCTTTGAAAAAGTTTAGACGAATCATTATCATCAATCATCATCATCATCATCATCGCGATCATCATCATCACTAGTTCATAGGAATAAGAGTAATGTAATCAGCAGCACGACTAACCGTCTTCACCGGAACAGAACACCCGGTAATTATAGCTGTATTTGGGGCAACTTTCAGACCAGATGCAGCGATAATGACCGGGCATTTTATTCGGGTGAAGAACGTAGCAGGAAGGCGAGTGTGGACGAGGCAGAGGAGGCAGAGGAGGCAGAGGAGGAGGAGGGGAGGAGGAGGAGGAGGAGGAGGAGGAATGAACGAAAAGGCTTAGGGCTATTTCGAACCTTGGAGCCGAAGTCGACGAGGAGGGGGGACTGCAATTGGGAACAGCAGCCCGCAAGAACCGATCAAATAGAGTTCGCACAATTTGAGATTCAAAGCAGGAGGAAAGAGCGGAGTCTAGGAAAAGAAGCCACGCCGAGCGAGCGTTAGAGCTGATGCGATCGGAGTTCATACATACAATTTGTAATTCGAAGCTGACGACATTTTTTTTTTTTTTTTTTTTTTTTGACGACATTTACCGAACGGTCAGACTTGCAAACGAAACGTAAAAGAAAAAGAAAGTGACTAAGGGCATGCTCACAGTAGGAGTTTTTTCCACTCCTCTGTGGACGTAATTGCGATCACATACAGGCAGGAAGGGCGCAAATTACAGCCAGACACATCCAGAAACGTGAGCGGTTTCGCCGCAATTTCTTAAGCAGTGTGCTGCTCCGCTCTGAAGTCCATGGACCGTCCTTCGGGACATTGGAACGATACAGAGAAGATTAGCATGGCCCCTGCGCAAGGATGACACGCATAAATCGAGAAACGGTCCAAATTTAAAAAAAAAAAGGACACGCATAAATCGAGAAATGGTCCAAATTATAAAAAAAAAAAAAAAAAAAAAAAAAAAAGTCCATGGACGACGCTCCACTACTCATCTTTCCTTTCCTTTTCCTACCGGTAGCGTCGATCCCGGGGCCAAGCCCCACTAGCAGCGTTGAGCTACCTCAACGCCTGAATCTGGACGTGTTTGTGGAGGCGAGCAGTTGAGGAAACTCAACACCATTTCTGCACGTCTACGCAAACACGTCCAGAGTCAGGCGTTGAGGTAGCTCAACGCTGCTAGTGGGACTTGGCCCCTGCGGGGACACGAAATAAAAATAATAATAATAATAAAAGGTGCTTTGGAACATACAGAGAAGCTTTGTAGCTTTTTGGGGATTGGGACTAAGGCCTGGACCCCACTGGCCGGCGGCTGGAAAACTTTTGGCATGGAAAGTCGATTTCGGACCCCACCAGGCCGCCGGGAGGTGGTCTGGAAAGATGCGAACGTGTTTTGTAGACCCCACTGCCGTCCTGGAAAGCACGGCGGGCGTGATTCTACTCGGTCGGCGGCTGGAAAGGCCCCCGCCAGGATGCGGCTTTCCTTTTCCAAAGTCGGCTTTTCTGGCGGCGTGGGGCAAAGCGCCAACTGCTGGCGGCGGGGAGTGGCAAGGTTCGGTCCAGTGCATGGGCGCCGCAGACTAAAGGGTTGTCGGAAAAGGTGTGCGATGCCACACACCAATTCCCCACCCGAGACCCTGCCGAGTCCGCAGGTTCGTCCACGGAATTCCTGCTTTCCTTTTTGGGAGGGGACCTTCCACGGTTTTCCTAAATCGGCAAGCCGGCCCTTTTCCAAAACACCGCCACCAGTTGGCGGTGGAGTCTCCCTGAATCGTGCCAAAAACTTTCCACCCGAGTTGGCCAGAAATTCACGGCCGGCCACTTTTTCCAGGCGCTGGCGGTTGGAAAACTTTTGGCATGGAAAGTTGATTTCGGACCCCACCAGGCCGCCGGGAGGTGGTTTGGAAAGATGCAAACGTGTTTTGTAGACCCCACTGCCGTCCTGGAAAGCACGGCGGGCATGATTCTACTTGGTTGGCGGCTGGAAAAGTCCCCGCCAGGATGCGGCATTCCTTTTCCAAAGTGGGTTTTTTCTGGCGGGGTGGGGCAAAGCGCCAATTGCTGGCGGCGGGGAGTGGCAAGGTTCGGTCCAGTGCATGGGCGTCGCGGACTAGAGGGTGGACCAGGCCTCCGCAGTGCGGTCACATTTGGCGTCACACGAGTCCCATAGATCGGCAACCCGTGAGTGATGGCAGGTCAGGAACGGCTCGCTACGAGGGCACAAGACACAACCACACGATGGCTGGACGTCAACGACGATCTGCCCTCTTCGACCTCCCGGTCCAATTTTCAGGTTTTTTCACGCATTCTTCTGAGAGTGAAAACTCACTGAATTTGGAGTACTTTTTAAGTTGGCCCACACATGATCGCTGAGTGGCAAAAATGGAAAATGTGCCCAATCGGCGCGACAATTATTTCTCGGTCTAAATGATTTTTTTTTTAATATTCTAATATTTTTCCTATAAAGAACACGACCTCATATATGGATTCTCAAAATTTCAGATTTTTCTACGGGTTCCTCCGAACAGAAAAAACCGCCAAAGGTGCCTCTTGCAAAACGTCTGTTTCGTTGCGCCTGACCTCCCTGTATTGAGAAGACGGGCCTCAACGCCTGGGCCTGAGGGCTCTTACCCCACCCCCACTTCTTTTTGGGGTCCACTTCCAGCCGAGGACCGGTCCTTGCTTTTTCCAAAAGTCCCGGTCATTCCAAAGCTTCATGTAGGTAGTCCCCAATTTTGCCAAGGACCGGCCCCCCC